TTATAAATTACTTTGTTTACGTTTCTGATACGAAATCGAGTAGACATGGGCTCTAGAGGAAAATCTGGCCGAGGTAATTTTCCTAAAAAAAAGTAAAATAGAATCTTGCTGATCTATGACATTCTCTGTGGCCGAGCGGGCTAAAGCACGCCAGATCAAACGGAAGACTGATAAATGTGTGTGCCTCGAATTAAAGACCTCAGTATTAAGTTAGCACAGACATTTAACTATTTGGGTATTTGGGTAACAGACGACAGGAAATGAGAGATAGAGTTCTGAAGACACATTGGGATAGCGAAAGAGACATTTCAGAGACTATTATAAAGACATAAGGGAATGTCCTTAGAAACAAAGGAAAAAGTTTCTGAACTACTATGTCATATTTAACCTCTTGTATAACAGTGAATGTTGGACAATTTTCTAACAAATGAAGAAATAGCAGAAATAGAGTTCTACCGTCACATTCCTAGAATGCTATAGAATGAAAATGTGAGCAATAACGAAGTTCTATCGGAATTAGGAGCTGGAAAGACACTTATATACAGGGTGCGAAATAAACCCCTCCCATATATACCTCGCACATAATGAAAAGACATTAGCTAGATGAAGAGACCATTGCAAGTAATGTCTTACCATTATGTGGGAGGTATTTCTGGGCGATATATGTGGAAGGTATTTCTGCCACACGCTTTATAAATCAGAAAGAAACAGGGAAATTTCTGGGACGCATTATGAGAAATGAGGGCTTAGAGAATTTGACACACAGAGGACATATTGAAGCAAGAATTGGCACTGGGAAACAGGCAGTAGCCTACATAACGGGTTTTTGTCAATGGGTGACAGTACAGGAAAATGTGGGATGAGTTAGATGTGACTTCGAAGAACAACGGAGAGGAAATTGTGGTGAGACATGATCTCCCACGTCCGGATTAGTCATGACACATAAAGGAAGAAGAAGGGTGAGAAATAAAAGGAATTATCCAATTAGTTTTCTCAAATTTTTAGAAGATAAATACAGGAGGATACAAAAGATACAGGGGGGTGCGGAAGATAAATAGAGGGAGAGGCAAAAGTAGGTAATATGTCCTTTACACATCACCAGAAAAAGAGGGCCTTAGAGGTGAAATTCAGCGAACTTACTGTATACCTACATTTGCAGCCCCCTTTATATTAATTTATTCAGTTAAAATGTACGTTCTTTGCCTTTTTTGTCTGCCGATTTAAAATAAAGGGACGCTACTCCAGTTTTAAAATAATTTGTATCTTCATTTAGACGGACTTAATAAAACAGATTACTATGTGGTAATTTATACTGGATAGATTAACTCCCTTATGCGATTTTCGGATTAACGTTGAAAGTAGACTTGACGATAACAGAGTATTAGCATATAAAAGAGTTCTCTCCCTTGTATTTTATTAACAAATCAGTAGAAGGGGTAAAGAAAATGAGCTTCATTTTCTATTATTTTGTGGAAAGCGTCACAATTTGTTTCCTTACTACGACACATTTCCGTTTTGTATGTTAAATATCTTCCTTATACCGAACAAAATCGGCAATAATTACGTTTTCAAGGCCATAGATATCTCATATATATATATGCATATTCAAACGGAAAAATATCCTTTCCAAATTATTGAGCATCTTGCATGGAGAAGTTTATTTTTCAAAAATAAACGAGGCAAAAATTTCAAATCCATTGTATCATTTTGACAACTTTATGTAGGTATATCAACAAATTCGTAGGCTGACGATTGAAGCAATTATTTTGCTCAATAAATATTTACCTGTCAAGGCACTCAATCTGGTGGTTGTGTATTAATTGCATAGATTGAACATTAAATTTTCAAACTAAAATTGATATAATAACTAGAACAGATTTTCTCAACCATTTTTACTTCAGGACATACTTGTAGAATAATTAATACTCTGAGGCACCATTTAAATTTTAATTATCTGTCTATATCTCTGAGATAAGGAATTATGATTATTTACATTATTTACGTTATTCGGAAACGTTGTGAATATGGCTATGAAGATGAGAAAAAAAATGAAAACAATGTAAATAAGGAAAAATTAAAATTGAAATTCCCAAATATGAAATTTTGGTTTAACATTTCCATAAAACATTAGTAGTACAGTTTTCATTTAAAAGAATCTAGAAAGGCCGATAATGACTGATTTAAATTCCTTAAGGAAGACAAAAAAGAAAGGATTATCCACTTTTTTTAAAGATTAAGAGATATAGCATTCTGTTTTAAATATTGAGTGGCAAAGATTTGACTTAGACATGGAAGCGACGTGCCTGGTGCCTCTAGCTTTTTAAAAATAAGTTTTTTTTTAAATATAAAAATAATTAATAAATTATTCTTCCGTTAACTTAGGGCGTACCTGGATACAGAGCGCATTGGTGCACCCGGTCGTACCGGTTGAGAAACGCTGGACTAGAGATATAACTTAATGATACAACCGCGTAATGACATACTACAAATAATTGTGGTT